ACCCCATTCATATGGCATTGCCATTAGATGGACTAATTAGCTTTGCTCAGTTGGAAAGTTAATTGGCTCAGGTGTAGGACCACACTACTACAGCTGAGCTGATTCTTTTTGGGAGCTAACACATGCAGCACTACCTTAGATGAGTCTGCAGCATGCCTGACAAAAAGGTGACTAGAAAGCTAGATCGTAAAGCTGTGCATGATGTTGCAGGAAGACTGATTACCATCCCGATGCACAGGAAGACTAGCTAGTATGGCAGAAGGCTGGCTTGTCTTAGCAGGGAACTCCTCAGTGAGTTAAAACACAAAAAGGAAGCTTATAAGGAGTGGAAGCTTGGACAAACAATGAGGGAGGAGTATAAGAGTATTGTTCCGGCATGCAGGGATGAAATCAGGAAGGCCAAAGCTCAGTTGGAATTGCAGCTAACAAGGGAAGTGGAGGGCTTCTACAAGTATGTCAGCAACAAGAGGAAGATCAGGGAACATGTGGGTCCTTTACTAAATGAGAGGCAACCTAGTAACAGAGGATGAAGAAAAAGTTTGAAGTACTCAGGCTTCTTTCTTTTTCATGTTGTGTAATTTCCTTTCCAAATGGCAAAATGTGATATCATCCATGTTTCAGGGGTGTAGGTTGTAGACATGTTGGTCTAAGGACATAGGCAGACAAGGTTCTATTGGTAAATCTGATATCTTTTATTAGATCAAATCAAATCGTTGGAAAAAATTCTTCTTAGTAAGCTTTTGGGCACAAACGCCTTTTGTCAGGCTGAGGAAGCATCTACATCTGTGCTCTTCCTGGATGGAGTGGTAAAGCAGCCAGTGGCTGCTTTAAAAAGATATCAGATTCACCCAAAGAACCTTGTCTGCCTATGTCCTTAGACCAACATGGCTACAACTTACACCTTTGACTTTAGCAAGGCTTTTGATATGGTCTTCCACAACTTTCTTGCAAGCAAGCTAAGGAAGTACAGATTGGATGAATGGTCTGTAAGGTGGATAGAAAACTGGCTCAGAGGGTAGTAGTCAATGGCTTGATGTCTAGTTGGCAGTCAGAATCAAGTGGAACGCCCCAGGGGTCAGTCATGAGTTCAGTTTTATTCAATGTTTTCATCAGTGACCTGGAAGATGGGATGGATTGCACCCTTAACAAGTTTGCAGATAACAGCAAGCTGTGGGGAGTAGTAGATACACTGGAAGGTAGGGCTAGGATTCAGAGAGACCACAAAAAATTGGAGGATTGGACCAAAAGAAATCTTGTGAGGTTCAAGAAGGACAAGTGCGAAGTCCTGCACTTAGGATGGAACAGTCCCATGCACTAATACAAGCTGGGGACTGACAGGCTAAGCAGCAGCTCTGCAAAAAAGGACCTGGGGGTTATAGTGGATAATAAATGAATATGAGCTAATAGTGTGTCCTTGTTGCAAAGAAGGCTAATAGTGTACTGGGCTGCATTAGTAGGAATATTGCCAGCAGATCAAAGGAAGTGATTGTTCCCCTCTATTGAGCACTGGTGAGGTGACATCTGGAGTACTGTGTCCAGTTTTTGGCCCCCCACTACAGAAATGATGTGGACAAACTGGAGAGAGTCCAGCGGAGGGCAACAAACATGGTGAGGGAGCTGGGGCACATGGCTTCTAAGGAGAGGCTGAGGAAGCTGGGCTTATTTAGTCTGGAAAAGAGATGACTGAAGGGGTATTTAAATAGCAGCCTTTAACTACCTGAAGGATGATTCCAAAGCGGTTGAAGCTAGACTTTTTTCAGTGGTGGCAGGTAACCGAACAAGGAGCAGTGCTCTCAAGTTGCAGCAAGAGAAGTTCAGGAAGAACTTTCTCATGAGGAGGGTAGTAAAGCACTGGAAAAGTCTACCCAGAGATGTTGTGGGATTTCCATCCTTGGAGGTTTTAAGACCTGGCTAGACAAAACCTTGGCTGGGGTGATCTAGTTGCGGATGGTCCTGCTTTGAGTAGGTGTTTGGACTAGATGACCTCCTGAGGTCCCTTCCAGCCCTAATTTTCTATGTTTCTGTGTTGGGAGGGGTGGATGGAAGCCAGCTGTGGGGTGGCAGGTAGTAATGTTGAGGAGTAGGTGGATTGTGGTGCTGTGTATGGGGTTGGAGGTAGGCTGTGGTATTGTAGAGGTTGAGAACTTCCTTGTTCCTTATTAGTTTAATTCTTGAGGAGTAGTAGGGTATTACCAGTATGAATGACAGGATAGTTAATGTCAGAGCTGTTTGGTGCAAAGCACATTGTACACACATGTTATTTAAGCTTTGAAAACAGTAATAGCATCAGCTCAACCCCTTTAAAGTCCCAACACCAGTGGTTCTGAGAATTTTTTATTAGTTTTAAGGAACATCTCATCAGACTTGAAGCCCCCTCCATAAATTTTTGTGAATTAAGCGGCATTTAAAAAACTAATTTATTTATTACAGTGCTTACTACCTTGCAAAGGAGGCAGGCAGTGGGGCAGGGGAGCAGCTAGGCAGGGAGAGCCTGAGTCTGCCTTTGTGTTTATCTCCTCACCCCTCACTTATCTCAGCCTCTTATCAGCTCAGATCAAGCGTAGTTGTATGCTGCCTGGCAGGGGAAATACCATGATCACCACGGTGGCTTCCTAGTTGCACCCGGGGAAGATCGCTCTGCTGGCATGGGATAGTACCTGCATAGGTAATGCATAGTTAACTTTGGCTTTATGCCCACTTTATGGAAATAGGAGACTCCTCCCTAGCTTGCTTCTAGGGCCTTATGGCTAAGCGCAAGCAAAACTTGGGGGCATCCAGGGTTGGGCCTGCAAGAAGGGTGCCTGCCAAAGGTTTTGGGAACATCTGAAGCCTCAGATGACGGTGGAAGAGATCTTGCCAGTAGTAGGGCCACTTATGGTTCTGGACTGACTCACAGATTTGGAATTGATTTGGCTAATTTGGCTTGGAATACAGAAAATTAAAAAAAAATCTCCTTGCACTTCCTGTGGCACCCCAGGGTACCCTGGCACCCTGCTTGAGAATCACTGCCCTACATGTAAGAAGGGACACTCTCTGTGCAGGACTTAAGAACTCCTAAATTCTAATCCTGCCTCTGAATATCTCTTGCTGGGAACTTGGAAAAGATGCTCAGTTTCTTAGCCTCAGGTTCCTGATCTGTAAAACAGAAATGATAACACTGCTGAAGCTGTGTAGAGAATTCATTAGAGAGCTGTAAGCAACTATATCACTACTAAGTATTATTGGTATTATGATGTAGCAGATTGCTTATCTAAGTATCATAATAACAGTACAATGTATACTGCGTACACATACATTTGTTTGGCTGTGAATTGATTTCAAGGGAAAAAAGAAGGGACTGTTTAATCTGAATTTGTTTTCCTGAAAAATGAAGTTAATCTAAAAAAAGTTACTGTGTATTGCATGGAATATTGACATAATCTTGTACACAAACTCTCAAACAAAACCTGTAATCTTTTTCCCTCTCTGTTTGCTTTTCCAGCATGGGGTACTGTATCCTTTTTGTTCATGGTTTTAAAAAGCTCTGTACATGGTTAAATAAATGTGGTGTTACTGCCACAACCCTCTCCGCTTTGCTGCTCCTGCTGCTCTTCTCTTGGAAAACTGTGAAACAGAATGAAATCTGGTTATCAAGAGAATCCCTTTTCAGGTAGGAATGACCACAGAAAAGAAATTCCTTTTCAACTTTTTAAAACATTGTTTTTTAAAATAAGAAGTGTCTCACAATTTATTGTTGCATGAAGTAGATGTTTTTAAGCAAAATAAAACTTTTACTACTCTTGCATTATTATTATTTATGTTGTCTTCGCTCTTTGTAAAAGAATGGCTTATTTTCTACTTCATGAAGTAATTTGTATAAGCACTGTATTTGCCTAGGACAAACTTGGATTTTGGCAGTATGATTTTTAGAAAATGCTTAAACAGCTCCTTAGATTAGTAGTTAATGTTACTGCCTTCATTAAAAACACCAGTGCATTCATAGTAAATATGAAAGTGTTGAAGGTGTTTTAGCAGCCTCTTTATAAAGGTAAAAAACAAATACCATGAAGGGTCAAAAATATATTATATTATATATAGTTCTTCTTGGTTTCTGTTTCCTAAGCTGCCTTCTTTTATAGCCTTATATATTTTACATTGAAACAGCCCATTTTGATATATATTTTGTTGATAAATGTATTAAATTTACTTCCAGATGTTTTCAACAATTGTCTAATTATGAGGTAAAAATTTAAATGTAGGCTATTTGCAAATGGATTATTTATTGTGTAAACTATTGGCCAGAGCAGTTTTATTTGCTCAGCATCAGAGATAATGACATGACCTCTAGCATTGTTTTTATAAATCTTTAAGTCAATTTTGCAATGTTGAAGCAGATGAAGCTCTGTTAAGGTAAACTTTAGAAAGATGTGAAATAGGAAATGAATTGTGTAAAAGTGAAGCCACTCCTATCTCCATAAACAGTATTTTCTACTTAAAAAATGGAAACCGTGGTGATTATGTCCTTGGCTCAGATTCCAATTAATTTAAGTGCAAGTTTCAGGCCAAACCTTCCATGATTAATGCCAACAATTCAAAAGAAAGCTGTATAGCCTTATGGTTCTTTTACTTTTGAACAGGGAAAAAAAACTATAATTGCTTCTGTGTTAATTCAGACCACATCTGGAATACTAAGCACAATTCTAGTCACCCAGACATTAGGCCAGAACAGATACAGAGGATCTGTACTGGGTACTGGGAAGTTCAGGGAAAACACGCTGAAAAACAAGGAACTCATAGACTATTTTATATGAAGAATTTGTAGGCAAAATTCATGCCTCATAACTCTATCACACTTACTGGGATTACACCACAGATGAATTTAGCTCAATCATCTATTCATGCCCCCCAATCTTACCCTTGGCTTGTAGTATTTACTCATGAAATCCATGCTGAATGTCCTGCCAATGTAGTCACAGCAGCACAGTAACGTATGTTGAATACATTCATTCCTCAGCACACGGGAGCCAGATGTGCTTTACGGTACAGTTCCAATCTAGTGAGTAAAGAGTAGTACATATGCATTAGTTTAGCATCAATCTGAGTGGAAATGTAAGCATGAGCTTCAGCTTTTTCTTTAGTGTAATCCCATTATGGGTGGAACATATGGGTAGAGGCTGTTAGTCCTGGAGAGGACCTGATGCCCTCAGTTGGTTTGCTAAGGGGATCCATCCATGGGGAGCAGTTGGAAGAGACAAAGGAAACTGCAAGAATTTAGGATAATGTGGATTTGACACCCCACTGCTGCCTTCTTAGCACACATGTTCTTCCAATAATCTGAAGTCAGGTCTTCCATCTCTTTACATCCCAATGATTTATATTGCCTCTTTCCCTTGCCCTCGGTGTCAGTGGGGAGGTGGGGAGGACTCTTCCTTCCTGTTGAGTCTGCATAATGGAGCTCTAAAGCAGGCAGATGTGAGCTCACAGGAACCCTCCCTTTCCTTGCCCACCAGTACTTCCATCAGCTCCCTCAGCTGACTGCTAGGACTCCA